CCAGATGGCTTCCACAGGATATATCAGAAGTGGATAGAACGACATCAGCTGTGTGTGAAAGCTAAGGGGAACTACTTTCAACATGAAATAGAATGCTAACTTGAAAGTAGAAATGTGGAGTAGCCACAGAACTATGGTTGAAATATAGGCAGGACAGAAACTAACGTTAACAAAATCTACTATGCTTTGAACTAATAAAATTGCTCCGCAGAACCCGTATTCGCGTTACTATGACAACCACCACTTTGCTGTTATTCATTATATCTTGATCATTTTTTCAGGATAGTTAGAAAAGTGTCTGATGCTTTTTCACTGAAAATTTGAACAATGATAGACAAGAAATAAAAGTTTGAGAGCAAAATTAGCTTTACTTACTGAACGCCCTGTACTTAGGCTCTGACACTCAAAGTATTTAATAAGCTAGATTCAACCCATTATACTGAGTCTTCCTTAAATCATTTCTACTACTCCAGTCTAATATGCCCGTGAGATGAAATTAGTAATATAATACTAATAATTTCTCAGTAATTGGTTCATTTATATTGCAGGTAATAGCTGGTAATGCATAGTTATTATATAAGTGATGAATTATTACTGTCTCTTCCGTAGAGTGCAGATTGCAGATTGTAGATCTGAACTGTATTCAATGAATAGGTATTATGTCATCATAACCTATATCATATAGGATATGTTATAAGGGATTTGGGTCGCTCATTTCAACATCTGTGGAAAAATTGTTTGGATTCAACCCCCACCCATACAATATAATTAAGACTTTGGACAAACAGAAATCAATGTTTTGAGCCAGCATTTGCTAACTGCCCATTTAAAGGCCAAAGGCAATCAATCAAAAATTACAGGGTGCTACTAATTTGCATGTAACGGCTATGATTTTCCAACTAAGGTGTTCTTTATCATTGCAAATTTCAATAAGATCCATAATTCAAAATGTGGAAATCGAACACAAACCCTTTTAGCTTATTATGAACAACATAAAGAGAGCTGTGATAGTAATGAATCAGTAATGCTAATATCAGTCATGTACCAGAACATGTTCCAGGTGTATGCACCATGATCTGTGAATATAATCTTGCAAAAGTAAAACAGGGAACTGAAACAGTGTTACACTTGATCTCCTAGATCCTGTTATGTTTTGTATCCAAAATCATTTAGTTAAAATAACCATGTTAAACATCAGGGGGTAGAGTAACATTTTACATTTGTTCTCCCAATGTTTTGATCCGCATCAGGCAAAACATCAGGGGGGTTAACAAATGTTACATCAGTACCTGTTGCCATGGTTTGTTAGACAGAATAAGGTAGATCACATTCACTTACCATTCCATGCCTTTGAAATTGAGGATAAGATAGATACATATTGGAGATTCTGTTTTTATGATCAAAATTGTTAATGCCAGTTATTCGTAAATCATACATGGGCGCCTCGTCACTGGTTGTATTACAGGGGTGTTTAAATCTATTGAAACATGAGAGCCTGAAAATAATGACATTTTGAATCAACATTCAAAATTTTTTATTGAAAATAATGAGGAATATAGATTCAGTTGAATTAGAAATACAGCAAATCAAATCTAAATCCTGTTACATAGATTACAATTTTACAAACAAAATCAATTCCCATTTGCTTTATCTAAAATAGTGTTTCTGTATCACTTTGACCCGAGACTGACTCAAGGTGAATGATTTTAATCGTTTTTCTCTGCAGGTGCAAAAGTATGTTTTGGCCATTAGTACATTAATCAAGAAATTATAAAAAGACAGGAGGAGTGATAGTATTAGAGTATATTACTACATATAAAAAAAGGCGGAGTTTCCCTAATTTGCGGGATTCTTCAAGAAAATCATGTGAATTAAGGCCGTTGCTTAATTTTGCTCTGTTGCTCCAGGCAACTCGCGAGACTTCCCCTCATTACCCGATCAGAAGTTTCAATATTGAGTGACAATGAATACTAATGTTCAAGTCTCTATTAGGTATAAGGTTCCTAATATTAAGGGGAGGGAGTTGGGATATAAGGTCAATAGTATTAGGGAAAGGGCTCAATATAGAGTCCCTTGTATAATTATAGTCAGGATACAAGTGTGCTTTAATGCGATTTTTTCAGACATAACTTTGATAATACTCCTGACTCCTCTTGCCCTTGTGGAAACAGAGATAAGAACAAGTTACACTTTCTCCTAGAGTGCCCTTTAACCGCTGAGCACAGAAACGAAACTATACAGGGCATCCTAAAATTAGATAATTTCAATATCATGTATTACTTTCATACTTTATGGGGATAGGAATCTAAACAATGAACAGAATTCTAAATGTTTTCAGTTATCCTCTATTTATATTGATAAATCTTTACAATGACCCACTAAAATCACATCATCATCTTTCACTATCATTCATAAACAAAACTACGTGCTTAACATGGTGACTGGCTGTCTGTCTGGCGCAGTCACACACCTTTGGCATAAATTACATTACCATGTATATTTTCAAATACCCTTTGCATTAGTTCGACTTCACTTATTACAATGTAAAAGACAGCTATGTCTTCACTCTTTCAGTTTACAATAAATCTCTGATCTCACCAAGCCAATCAGAGTTCATCGTTGACATAGGGACGACTTTCTAAATTTCTATATGGTCATTTCCTCTGACACCACCGCATAGTTAATTGGGACATGTTTAGCCGTGCAGGGCTGCTAAACAGTATAGTATATATACTAGGCAGAGGGTAGTTTATAACTAGACTCTGTGCGGAGGGTAATTTTCAAACCAGAGGGGGCCAATAATGCTTAAAGCCACGGCCCTCCACAATAATGTATGAATTTATTATTTATTATGCAAATAAAAACAATTAACCAATTAAAAAAATACAAGTGTGTTAATTTTCAGTAAGTATTACGATAGTTAGCATACTAAACATTGGTTTGCAGCTTAAAGCTTGTGCTTGTAAATGAGATTATTGTTAAAATAAGAGTTATGAATAGATACATACATTCCATCAAGGATGGAGATAATCTAATAAACCCCTCTGATATAGTGAATCCCATTGACATTTTCATGAATAGATAAGTTTCGGAAATCATAGAAATATGAAAACCTATCTGACATGTTAAGATAATCCCTATAGCCATGAAGAAACTAGTGTTCTCCCTTAGGTAATATTGAATCCCACCACTCTGGTATACCGTAAATCACGCCACTCCCTTAAAAATTAGATTAACACCATCCACTTTTATTTAAATATTGCCTCAGATGAAGAAAATATTTTTTCCACTATCCTAGAAAATTGCAACTTTTTTCCATGGGGAGTCTAATTTCAACACTCTTGTGATAGTTACACATCAGTCACAACTTTTACCACTACACTTTAGTCACAACTTTTACCACTACACATCAGTCACAACTCTTAACACTACACATCAGTCACAACTTTTACCACTACACATCAGTCACAACTTTTACCACTACACATCAGTCACAACTTTTACCACTACTCATACTGATAAATTGTGGAGAACCCTGGCTTTAAATTATCAACAGTGCTAGCATGTATTTTCATTGGTTCAAATTCATTTTATGTTAATATAAAATGTACTTGATGCATGACTCTTTCAAAGGATAAACTGACATTCAATGTCACTAATAATAGGTGTGATACTAATCTATAGGAAATTAAGCCTGTAAATTGCTGAATATGTCACTTTTATTAAATAATTAATTAACTTATTACCCGTTTCTGGGATGATTGTAAAATATATTCATCCTAGTTGAGATATACATCAAGTACAAATACATTCAAGCATTATCAACTATTTAACACAAGAGGAATGCTATGTGTGGCATTAAATGATAGTTAATAGTAATAGATATTAATTTATTGTTCTCTACTGAAAAGTTCATCCTTATAAACACATTGCGAATCTCAGTATTTGTGACGCGGATTTGTCTATTTAAATGAAAGAAAAGTCCAATATTCATATCAGCATTGAATTTCCACTAGAGTCAATGCCCTAAATAATTTATCTTATTGAACCCTGTGCTGTATTCTTAAGATTTGAGACCAGCTGGTAAAAATAACAATGTTGATCAATTGTAATGCTTTTATAAATCAAAATTCTCCATAGAATATTGCATTTTAATGATAAGCTAAATGCCAGTAAAATCTGTTTATCCAAAAACCTTTTAATCTTAACTTTTTTATGTCATATTTGTACCAGTCCCAGTGGTATTCAGATTAGACGGGTTTTACTCTCTTGAGTTTTGCATTCTCTGATATTGCGCAGTACTATTCGAACGTTACACATATACATATGAGTATATATACAATTTATTTATGGCTGATTTCTGATGCCTTAATTCATCCAAAGCAATTGCTGAAGACTTCATTTTTCATAGTCTAACCCTATTATTGATATTTTCGGGGACTTCTTTATTTCAAATAAAAAGAAAACTCCAGGATAACCTGGCAGTTTTTTTTACTGCCATACCCAGAGGTTTCACTAGAGTTTCTCACAACAGGCTAAATAAATGAAAACAACAGGCAAAATTCATGGAAATCATGAATTTAACATTGCTTAAAGTACTTCAGGGTGTTTGACTGAGCGGTCCACAACTCGTACAAAAGGCTGTGGTGCGTACTTGTATGTCTCTGCAGATAAAAGAACACAGCGCTCCTTTGAGGAGGGGTTTCTGGGCCTATCTTCCAGGCTAATTACGTTAATTACGACCATATATATATGGGATATACCCAAGAGGTATTGCTCACCTTCATTGGTGGTAAACAAAATACAATACAACAACATGAAACTCCTGCATACCCCTATCATGTGTTGCATATGGATAATATCTTATGACAAGACATCCCATATTTACAATGTACAAAACATTGAGATCAAACACATGTTGAATAACTTGAATAACTTGTCATATGCAACATGTATGTCTGATCTTGATGTAGTTTGTACAAAATAATTTTTACACTTACCTTGCTGTCATTGTGTACCAGCTCAAGTAAATATCTTGGTAAAAGGTCGTGTCTATTGTTAACATCTTCTAACGCAAGTTTAACCGCAGGAAAACATGCTTGGCCTCCCAGCCATCCTAAAGTCCCAGTTATAGGGAACAGTCCACCAATATATAATTTTTTATCCTTCATCGATCTATTCACATTGTCAGACAATACTCCATGAGTAATATCTGACATAAACAAACTAAATATTATTCCAAATTGTATAATGTGTTGTTGCTGGATTGACATATTTGTTAACTTTTGGAAGAGATATTGATGAGTGAAAATACAAAATATAAATTTCAACTTGGTTCAAGTTTTCGTTGTGTTTACATGTATCGATCGTCTAATAATAGCTTTGAACTGTAGAACATACGATTCTCTTACGTTCTCTTGCATTATTACATGTACTTTTTCCATATTTTGTCGATAAATGGTTCAATTTCGGTACAAGCATTTGACGGATCAATCCAAAAAATCCTGTCGTTGTGAACTACGTCATCGATTTTTGAGTAATGACGTTTTTCACACTTCCGGTCCACATGCGTTGAGAAATATTGAAAAAGATATTGAATTTATCTTATAATTCATGTGTCACCTTTAGATAAGACATCAATTTGCAGTAATGAGGTAAGTTACCATGTTGATACACTGTCTGATTTGTTATTTAGTCTATTTCTGCTTTTTGTTTAAGGTTCAGTGGGAAAGTAACATTTTGGTAAAAAATTGCTATACCTGCACATGTTATTTTCTGGTACAAAATTAAGTATGAAGGCATGTGTGTATTTCCTTGCTTTTTTCGACAAAGTATCATTACACTGTCTACTTTTAGTAAACCTGGAAATAGGTCAATGGTAGCTCCTGTGTTGTCTGGAAACTTTGAAAGAAAATTTGGAAAAATAGAAAGTGTGAATATCAGAATTTCCTGGAGTTCCCATTGAACTCTAGTCATATAAATCTGACCCTCGTATGATGTTATTAGTTGTTATTTTTTCTGATTTGGATATTTATTTTTTCTTATTTTCTTGCATACAAGGGTCATACACACTCCGCGCATCTAAATTGCGGGAAATGCTTTCCTGGCCTGTCTACCCAACCAAATTCACACAAATGATAAATAAATGTCTTTGCTTCAACTATAAAGTATTTAATCTTACCTTAGACACGTAAAACGCTTGGTAATTGAAGAAATATAAGCATGCCGCTTGAATTTTAAAATTTTTTCATTTTGTCATGCCAAGGTCACTTCCGGGTTAATCTGAGTCTAGATGTAAAACTATATCAAACGAAATCATAAGTACTTGTTACACGAAGATTCAGTTGAAAGGGAAGCAGTGTCGTTAAGAAGGGAAGTTATTTGGAAAAGTTATTGTTTCAAAATGAGAAAAGTAAGAGAACGGCTTTGGAATCGATCTCTGTGTAATAAATAATTATGATTCCGTTTCGATACATGTTTTACATTTAGACTACCGGAAACAGCATTCAGCAACATGGCGGGCGATAATGAAAATATAATTCAATTGATCAATTTTCGTCAATTATCAAGCGTTTTACATGTCTAAGGTAAGATTTAACACTTTAATGTTGGAACTAAATAATTACTTGATAATTTGTGTGACTTTGGTTAGTATGGTAACTATGGTTACCGAGACAGGCCAGAAAAGCGTTTACCGCAATTTGTTCCATATAATATCTACGACGGTGTATGCAAAGAAAATGATAAAAAATAAATATCCAAATAAGAACAAGGAATATCGAAGAACAGCATACAACGGTCGGATTTATATGACTAATTGAACTCCTACTAGATCATCAGTGTCAAGATTTAGGGACAAAAATTTATGTCATTTTGAAGTAAAGCTTTTGAGTTGAGAAATTTAAAAACATCCCACTTACTGAACTTTTAAACTTTTAAGGCATGTATTTTCAAAAAGCTTTACATTGGCGAAATTCCATTACATTCTTGGACTTAGAGTCCATTTCACTGCTTCATTTCGTCAGTAGAATGGCAAAAATAAGAAATTGGGAGACCATTGTGCAATAATATATGGAAAAGTGTATTCATAATGTACATGAATGACATTTGTATATCTTGGATTGCTTCTAGTTTGGCTTATAAAGTGTGTGGCCTCTTATATTTGGATGTTTCTCTGTCATGTTATTTTCAATAAGATTAACATGGCTGAAATTCTTCAAATTACAAGATGGCACAGGCTTATTGCACAAAAAACTAAAAAATCTGAAATATACAAATGTCATTCATGTACATTATGAATACACTTTTCCATATATTATTGCACAATGGTCTCCCAATTTCTTATTTTTGCCGTTCTACTGACGAAATGAAGCAGTGAAATGGACTCTAGATTATTTTGCGATTGAAAGTTGTGAACTTTTATGGCATGGATTTTCAAAAAGCTTTACATTGGCCATATTCCTTTACATTCTTGGACTTAGATTATTTTACGATCTATAGAAGTGAAATTTTACAGCATGCATTTTTAAAAAGCTTTACATTGGCCATATTTCTTTACATTCTCGGACTTAGATTATTTTACGATCTATAGAAGTGAAATTTTATGGCATTCATTTTCAAAAAGCTTTACATTGGCCATTTTCCTTTACATTCTTGGACTTAAGATTATTTTACGATTTATACATGTACATGATAACTTTTAAGGCATGTATTTTCAAAAAGCTTTACATTGGCCATTTTCCTTTACATTCTTGGACTTAGAATATTTCACGAACCAAAGTCATGAACTTTTTATGCAGGCATTTTCAAAAAGCTTTACATTGGCCATATTCCTTTACATTCTTGGACTTAGAATATTTCACGAAGCAAAGTGTGAACTTTTTATGCAGGCATTTTCAAAAAGCTTTACATGGGCGAAATTCCATTACATTCTTGGACTTAGATTATTTTGCGATTGAAAGTTGTGAACTTTTATAGCATGCATTTTCAAAAAGCTTTACATTGGCCATATTCCTTACATTCTTGGACTTAGAATATTTCACGAAGCAAAGTTGTGAACTTTTTTTGCAGGCATTTTCAAAAAGCTTTACATTGGCGAAATTCCATTACATTCTTGGACTTAGATTATTTTGCGATTGAAAGCTGTGAAATTTTACAGCATGCATTTTTAAAAAGCTTTACATTGGCCATATTCCTTTACATTCTTGGACTTAGATTATATTTTATGATCTATAGAAGTGAAATTTTATGGTATGCATTTTCAAAAAGCTTTACATTGGCCATTTTCCTTTACATTCTTGGACTTAAAATATTTTGCGATTGAAAGTTGTGAACTTTTATAGCATGCATTTTCAGAAACCTTTACATTGGCGATATTTCTTTACATTCTTGGACTTACATTATTTTACGATATATACTTGATAACTTTCAAGGCATGTATTTTCAAAAAGCTTTACATTGGCCATATTCCTTTACATTCTTGGACTTAGATTATTTCACGAAGCAAAGTTGTGAACTTTTTATGCAGGCATTTTCAATAAGCTTTACATTGGTGAAATTCCATTACATTCTTGGACTTAGATTATTTTGCGATTGAAATTTGTGAATTTTATAGCATGCATTTTCAAAAAGCTTTACATTGGCCATATTCCATTACATTCTTGGACTTAGATTATTTTACGATGTAAACTTGTGAACTTTTATAGCAGGCATTTTCAAAAAGCTTTAAAAAACTCCTTGAAGACTTTCACTTTTTGGAAAAATGAAAAAAAATGTAAAGCCTGTAAATGAATTCAGAAGCAAGAAAATGAAGTAAGACACAATAAGTTGTATATCATTTTGAAGGGCTAGACCCATACTTTATGTTTTTCGAAAAGAAATGTGAATAATGTATATATGTCAAGATTTAGGGACAAAAATTTATGTCATTTTAATGTAAAGCTTTTTTTCTTTACAATGACGAGTTGAGAAATTTAAAAACATCCCACTAACTGAACTTTTAAACTTTTAAGGCATGCATTTTCAAAAAGCTTTACATTGGCGATATTCCATTACATTCTTGGACTTGATTTTTTTACATTCTTGGACTTAGATTATTTTGCGATTGAAAGTTGTTAACTTTATAGCATGGATTTTCAAAAAGCTTTACATTGGCCATATTCCTTTACATTCTTGGACTTTGATTATTTTACGATGTAAACTTGTGAACTTTTATAGCAGGCATTTTCAAAAAGCTTTACATTGGCCATATTCCATTACATTCATGGACTTAGGTTATTTTACGATGTAAACTTGTGAACTTTTATAGCAGGCATTTTCAAAAAGCTTTACATTGGCCATATTCCTTACATTCTTGGACTTAGATTATTTTACGATCTATAGAAGTGAAATTTTACAGCATGCATTTTTAAAAAGCTTTACATTGGCCATATTCCTTTACATTCTTGGACTTAGATTATTTTACGATCTATAGAAGTGAAATTTTACAGCATGCATTTTCAAAAAGCTTTACATTGACCATTTTCCTTTACATTCTTGGACTTAAAATATTTTACGATATATACTTGATAACTTTCAAGGCATGTATTTTCAAAAAGCTTTACATTGGCCATATTCCTTTACATTCTTGGACTTAGAATATTTCACGAAGCAAAGTTGTGAACTTTTTATGCAGGCATTTTCAAAAAGCTTTACATTGGCGAAATTCCATTACATTCTTGGACTTAGATTATTTTGCGATTGAAAGTTGTGAACTTTTATAGCATGGATTTTCAAAAAGCTTTACATTGGCGAAATTCCATTACATTCTTGGACTTAGATTATTTTGCGATTGAAAGTTGTGAACTTTTATAGCATGGATTTTCAAAAAGCTTTACATTGGCCATATTCCTTTACATTCTTGGAGTTAGATTATTTTACGATTGAAAGTTGTGAACTTTTATAGCATGGATTTTCAAAAAGCTTTACATTGGCCATATTCCTTTACATTCTTGGACTTAGATTATTTTACGATCTATAGAAGTGAAATTTTACAGCATGCATTTTCAAAAAGCTTTACATTGGCCATATTCCTTTACATTCTTGGACTTAGAATATTTCACAATGCAAAGTTGTGAACTTTTAATGCAGGCATTTTCAAAAAGCTTCACATTGGCCATTTTCCTTTACATTCTTGGACTTAGAATATTTCACGAAGCAAAGTTGTGAAGTTTTTATGCAGGCATTTTCAAAAAGCTTTACATTGGCGAAATTCCATTACATTCTTGGACTTAGATTATTTTGCGATTGAAAGTTGTGAACTTTTATAGCATGCATTTTAAAAAAGCTTTACATTGGCCATATTCCTTTACATTCTTGGAGTTAGATTATTTTACGATCTATAGAAGTGAAATTTTACAGCATGCATTTTTAAAAAGCTTTACATTGGCCATATTCCTTTACATTCTTGAACTTAGATTATTTTACGATCTATAGAAGTGAAATTTTATGGCATACATTTTCAAAAAGCTTTACATTGACCATT